AATGATTCTCAGCGTGCATTTGCAGCGTACGGGATCACATGCCTGGTGGGGTGGCACGTGCACAGAACACAACCTAATTCTTCTCACTCCCTCGCATCTCCAGATCCTCTTCCCATTTGCCTAAGATCGTGTGGTGTTTGCCTTCTGAGCCTGGCTGGCCTCCAGTTCTGTCCCCATGGCACCAGCTGACGAATTTTGTGCACTCTTGTGCTGGTGCTGCCCCATGGTGTGCCCAGCCACCTTCTCTATGCTGCGTGTGGTTGAGTGATGCCGTTGTTTCTCCTTCCTGGCTCCGTGGGTAGTGTGGCAGTAAATACGGGCGTGCAGGGGTCTCCGCAGAATGATCCCGGCTGCCTGGGTCCTGCCTAGTGTTCTTCCCAGGATGGTTAGGAGGAACTGCTGGGGTCCTCACAGTGCTGCTGGTTATAGTGAGGCTTTCTGGCCTTCTGGGTTTCTTCCTTTAAATTCCCTCTTCCCGGCCTTTGCCCATTCTTCTGTTGTTTTGTGTTATTATATGCAGGAGTTACTTAAAATAGTATAAACACTACTACTTTGTTGCATGTCTCTTCGGTTTGTCTGTGGTGGTCTCTGGCAGGGCTTCTCCGTTATGGTTTACATTTCCATGCTCCCCATTTTTCTCTTGCCCGGGACCCACTGTGTCATCACAGTCCTGGGCTGCCAAGGAGAAACACTGGGGCCACTCCCAGGGAGAAGTGCTGCTGGGGAGACGCTTTCCCTGCTCCACACAAACCCGGCAGCAGAATTGCTTCAGTTTTCTGTTGTACTTGATAGAGTGTTCGTCTAAAGTTATGTCCGTAAGCTGTTTTCCTGTATTTTCTTCTAAAAGTTTGAGTTCTGCTTTTCTCCTTTGCCTCTCTTGCCCATCTGGACTTGGTTTAGGGGTCTTTCATGAGATTGGGCTGTCTTCGTCCATCAGATCCCCGGTTGTCTGCCTTTGCTCCATGGATAAGATGTCTCCTCTTTTGACGAGTAGCCCTCCCTGTGACACATAGCAAGGGTTGAATAGGTTTGTTTCTGCGCTCTCTGATCTGGTCTGTTTGCATTTCTCTGAGACTGCACCACAGTTTGATTTACTACAGTTTCACAGTATAAAGCCTCCCTCCCAGTTCTGCTTCTTCCAGATTGTGTGGCCTCTTTCCTTATGTTTTTGCTGTATCAAATAAAGTTAAAAATTAGCTTCTGAAATTGTACTGCTTGTTAATTTGTGAGGATATGTTCATTTGGTTTTTAAAAGAAGCTCTGTTGAAACCTGCTTGAAGGAAAATGCACAGATCATAGACGTACATCTTAGTGATTTCCATAAAGTGATTTCCCTTGTACCTAGTCATTGTCCAACACCCAGAGCCAGGAGAGCAGGGAACAGAAACAGAATGTGGTGTTTTAATTTCTTTTACTATAGTTTTGTCTGCTTTTGAGCCTTATGTAAATAGAAACAGCGTATACTCTTCGTGACTGGCTTCTTCGATCCAGTACTGTTATGAGTTTCATCCGCATTTTCGCTTGTCGTTTATTTCCTTTGTCATGTAGAGTTCGTCCTGTGAATGTGTCACAATTTATCTGTTCTACTGTTGGTAAACATTTGGGTTATTTTCAGTGAGCTGACAATGGAAATGACTGCGTGAACAGTCTTTGCATGTCTTCCGTTATGTATCCTGTACATTCTCTTCGGCATGTGCGTGGGAGCAGCATTGTTCCATTGTGCCTCTTCTCAGCTTTAGTAGATACCATAACATTTTTCAAACTGCTGTATAATTTACTTCCCCAACACTAGTACAAGAATTCCACTTCTGTTCTGATCTTTGCCAAAGCTTAATATTGACAGGTTTTGCTTAAAAAAAAAAAAAGAGGAGCATCAGCTCTTCGGGCGTGTGAAGTGAGGTGTATGGGTCTGCACTTCCTGTGACTGTTGAAGTTAGGCCCTCTCGTAGCTGTGCCACCCACTGCCTGTCTTCTCGCGTTGTATTCTTTTAGGGTTTTCTGTTTGATTTGTGAATATTGGATGTCAGTCGTTGGGAAACATGGAATGTGTTTCTTCTGAACTTCATGCTCTTCATGCCACTGTTCGGAGTAGAACTTACTTAGAGTAGAACTTACACGCAGTGTGCTCCCGTTCTCCTTCTCTTGGGGCCTTGAGATGCATGAGGAATGTCGCCCACCCCAGGGACGTATGTTATAGTCCAATGGCCTTATTGTTTCCCCGTCTGTCAAACTTGTGATCTACCTGGACTTGATTTTTGTCTGTAATACAAGAGTTCTTATTAGACATTCCTTGACCCAGCCCCAGTTTTTGAAGGGTGTCTTTTCTCTGAGCTGCCGCAGTGTTTTATAATTTTCTATGTGAAAGTCTTATTCATTTTGTTAAGTTTATTCCTAGGTATTTAATTTCTTCTGATTCTGTGATAAATTATATAATTACAAAATTTTTATTTTCAATTTTTTGTTGCTAAAATGTAGGGGGAAAGTTGACTTTTCATAGTGAACTTGCATCCAAAGATCTTTCTAAATTCATTTACTGATTCTACTAATTTTTGTGGATTTCTTTAGATTTTTTGGGAACATGATCATGACATAAGAATAACATCAGTTTCATGATTTTCTTTCCAATTTTTGTAGTTTTTGTTTCCTTTTTTGTTTTTCTTCCCATGAATAGCTATTGACTTTTATCAGATGCTTTATATGTGTCAGTGGTCTTCAGATAACCTCTTTGTTCTGTTAATGTGGTGAATTATGCTGACTGCCTCTTGAGTGTAAACCAAGCTTGTACCCCTCAAAGCTGTAAGTCTTTCCTTGGCCTGTGGAGATTTTACCAAAGGGTTTCACTTGTATATCAGTGGGTAAAACTGGTCTGTATTTTTTCTTTCTTGTAACGTTCTTGTCAGTTTTGGTGTCAGTCTTGTGGTGGCCTTCTGAGATGATTTGGGGAGAGTTCCTCTGTGTTCTGTTCTCTAGAAGAGTTTTTTAAATGTTAGTGCTGTTTGTTTGCCTTTGTCTCTTTCTTTCTTTCATGGTATTGGGGGTTAATGGGGATTGAACCATGTCCTTTTCATTGAACTACATCCCCCTTTTAAATTTTTAATTTTGAGACAGGGTCTCACTAAATCACTAAATGGCTCGAGTGGGGCTCCAATTTGTGACCCTCCTGCCTCAGCCTCCCAAGGTGCTGGAATTGCAAGCGTACATCATCACACCCGGTGCTGTTTCTGAAATAAATGCGCAAGAATTCAGTAGGGGTCTTAGCTGGGTATGGGGTTTTTCTTGTGGGAGGTCTTTTAGTTATAGAGGATTATTAGGTTTTGTCATTCTTCTATTGTCATTTTATTAAAAGTTATTCATTTTATTTAAAGTTTAGAAGTGTGTGGTTATGTTATATATTCGGTTATTACTTTTTAGTCTAGGTAGAATGTATTTGACCTTTGTTTCATCATCCTGCTCATAGCAAATTTCTTGTCCCGTTCCTGCCGTGCCTCGCTTCTGTGACAGAAGCGTGGCTTCTCATCAGGTCGTGGAGGCTTCCGTGCTGTACACACCCGTGTGTGGCCATCCAGCCTGTGTTGCTCAGTGGAAAGAGAGTGCTTTAGGGCCGTGAGGTTCTCTAGCACTTTGTTTCGTTTGTCCTCGTCCACGTTTGCAGTGCAGAATGACCCCAGGCCTTGTAGGGAGTTAGCTGGTGAGGGTCCGCAGCGCAGCACGTCTGAGTTCCTCTTCCACCCTTCCCCGCTGCCCTCCGTCCTCCCCTGGGCCCCTTTCCTTTGCACATCACCATCTCCCTGCTTCCTGCTGCAAGCCTTCCCTGTGACTCCCCACTCCGCACAACTTGTCTTCAAAGCTCTTTTCCTCACGTCCCAGCGCCTCATGGCTGCTCTCCTGCAGGGCCAACCCCTCGAGCCTTTCCTGGGTTCCAGTTACCCCCAGACACGATGAGCTTGGTTTGTGCAGAGCTTCCCCGGCTGGACCAGTAGCAGTGTCGGGGTGGCGGCTCCTTGTGCCCACCAGGCTGCATTGCCCGGGTAGGGGCTCGCCTGGCATGAGATGGGCCTTGGGCTCACAGCTCACAGCTCACTGTAATCTCTGAGGCAGGAAAGCTCTAGAAAGCCCAAGTATCCTGAGAGTTACAGCACTTCTGCCTCTTTCACATGCTCTGGTAAGATGCCAACGAGTAATTAAATGCCAGTAAAACCAATGTCTAGAATTTAATGTTATAAACCTCTTAATAGTCATCCGCCGCTGACTGAAGAATTCAGGGGTATCCAACCCCAAATGGGGTGGTTAGCTATGTGTGCCCGCTGTTCTGGGGTGGGCAGGCGGCACCGATAGACAGGTGTGAGGACGGCTGAGGTGAACGCCTCGCGGTGTCAGCCCAGCCCCTGTGGTCCTTCCCGAATGCCCGCAGCGCTGCCTGCAGGGATCTGCTCTGGGACAGCACAGGTCAGGCTGAGGCAGAGAGGTTCTCCCTGTGAGGGTCCCTCAGCACCGTGGCCACCCGTCAGCTGTTCCACAGTCACTGTGTTGGAGTTGCGGTCCCTGCGAGGCAGGATCAGAGTGGGGCTGAGGAGCCAGGTCACCGGGCGGCAGCACATGCTGGGTCCGCACAGGGCCCTGGGCTCCCCAGCAGCATGAAGGGGAGGTAGGGCCTGCGGAAGGCTGCGGTCACAGGGCACTCCCCCCTGGGGGCCGCCCTTCCTGGTCTCCACACCTGTCCTGCCCGTCTGGATCCTTCTGGCATTTGCCCTGTCGCTGTGGCTGCGTCCGCCCTCAGGCTGTGCTGAGCCCAGCAGAGGCTGTGCCTGGCTCCCGGCCTCCTTCCTATCCATCCTCAGCCTCAGTGCTCCATCACAGCGGTGCCGATGGCCGGGTGTTGCCTAATCCACACGGGCGGGGCCGCAAAGCCGAGTTTGGCTGCAAATTCCTACCTGTGGCATGAGGCAGGCCAGTCCCAGCAGCCCCCCGATGCCGTACCTGACCATGTTTTCTGCTTCCAGGAGGACTCGGAGAGAGTCATGATCGTCACCGGCCCCAACATGGGTGGGAAGAGCTCCTACATCAAGCAGGTGGCCCTGATCACCCTCATGGCCCAGGTGGGCTCCTACGTTCCTGCGGAGGAGGCGACGGTGGGCATCGTGGATGGCATTTACACCAGGTGAAGCCGTGCCCCTTCTGTGTGTACTGTATGGGCTTCCCTTAGTGAGTGACCTAATCATTCAGCGCAGTGGCGTGTTCTGGGAGTTGGAGCAGCTTGGGAGCCTGATGCAGGGAGTTAAATCGACAAAAACTTAGTACAGTAAAAGGTGCTTTGCCAAGAGCAATGGGACAGGTGTGTTCAAAATGAGGAACAGTGTTCTGAGAGGGATCAGTGGCAATGTGTCTTCTTCCCTCACTGAATCAACCCTTTATGGGAAACTCGGTCAAATAAAAGTGCGATGCTGTGTCCCCATCCACCTTACTCTCCAGATCTGGCACTGTGGGACTTCTGGCTCCTCCCCAAAGTCACAATGACCGGGGACGGGGAAGGGTTTGGATCCATTCAGGCCATGGAGGCAGCCAGGACAGCACAGCCAGAGACACTCGGGACAGAGGACTCCGAGCTGCTGCAGAAAGTGGCGAGGACGTGGGACGGGTGTGTTCAAAGCGAGGGGGAATTTTGAGGGGGATTCGTGGCAGTGTGTCCCTTACTGTAATACATTTTTAAAAATTAAAATATTCACCATATGCTTCATCACCGTGTGTATAAACCCTAATTTTTGATGTCTTAGGAATATGGGTGAAATATCCCGACTTCTCTAAGAGAATTCATAGTTTATCTATCTCCCATTTTAGGATTTATTGGTTATTAGAGTATTTATATTTTTAAAAAGTATAATACCCACGCGCACACACACACACACATTCAAGCCTTGTGTTCCCTGCAGTGTGCTGTGTGTAACAGAAGTCAGTGAGTGAAAGGCTGAGGCAGAATGTTAGGGATTTTTTTTCTGAATGTTATGCATCATGTGAACTTTTTCCTGAGTAAGGAACTGATTTTTTAAAAGTAGTTTGTGCGGAGCTGGGAATTTAGCTCAGTGGTTCTGCCTCCTGCCTTGCAAGTGCAAGGTCCCGAGTTTGATCCCAGTACCCCCCAAAAACGGTAGTTTTTGGGAGCACATCTGTTGGCCTTTAGGTAATAAATTTGGTCAGTGTATTGCAGTAAATGTGCTGATGGGTGAAATAAATATTTCTAGATGTATTTCCAAGGATCACGAATATCTCTTATGTGCATCGCTATTGTTATCCTGAGCAGAAGCCTTGTTCAACTTTATAGACTTGGTAATTAAATTTTAGAGAAGCAATGAATTATTAAATCTGGCTAGAAAGTCATTTGAAAAAAAGTAAAACAGTTGTCGTCTTCTTCCCATAGTTTATATCTACTTATGCCGATTAAATCCTGGTGGAGAGGGATGTTTACATCAACTGGCCCCTAGTGAATCATTATCCTACTGGCTGTCCACATAAACTCCCTCTCTGTGTGCTCTGATCGGCACCAGTGGGCTTATCTTCAAGGGGAATTGGGAGGTAATAGGCACTCACGTGTGTAAACTGAACACTGAGTGTTGCTATGACTGTGATGACCACGAGTGATAATTCATCTGTGTGTCCAGTTCCATGCAGTGCAGTAAGTATTTGCGAGCCCTTATTGTGCCGGGTCACCCTCGAGGCTAGAGAGAACAGCTTCTCAGTGCTGTAAGCACCAGCTGAGGCTGTGCGCGCTGAGTGCCATCTCGAAGGATGGTGCTGATGGCACTGGCCCCACGGAAGTCGCCTTAGCCGCGCCTCTGGTTTCAGGAGTGCCTGCAGCTGTGTGTAGGCAGTGGGTCCCTCCTTTCCTCTTTGGATGGCACATGGTTGTGTGGATTTCGTGCCTGCTCTCTGATCAGAGCCTCCTGCAGGTCTGGTTTGACTTGATCCTCAGGGCAGCCCCAGCAGGTGGCTTCCTGGGCGCGGCCTTTTCCCAAGAGCCTGGCTGTGCCTCATTGCCTCACTGCGTGTTTCCCTGGTGACACAGTGAGGAGTGTCTTTTCACAGTCCCTGCCTATCTGTGTGTCTTGTTTTAAGATGAAGAAGATTTATTTATGCCAGAAATATAGAGAACAGCCATCACATACTGAACTGCAGAGGACAGGGGTCTCGGTGGCGGGGCACGTGCCTGGCGTGTGCAGGCCCAGCCCCAACCCCTGCCACCCTTGTTCTAAAATCAAGAAATGTTACTTATTTTGTATTCTTTTGTCTGAAAGTGTCTATTAGACAGTAACCCTTTTCATATCTGGATATTTTAACTTTGAATTAACTTTGAATTGACAGCTTATAATCTGCTGCCTGCAGCAGCCTGACCCGTGAACCCGAAGTGTGGCAAGCAGCCGGGTGAGGTGGCAGTCTGTAGTCCCAGCGCCCTTCGAGGTTGAGGCCAGCCAGGGTGACTTAGCCACTTCGCGGGACACTGTCGCAAAAATAAAAACCATGAAAGAGCTGGGGATGTGGCTCAGTGCAGAGCCCTGGGCTCAATCCCCAATACAGCAAAACAAAAAAGTGGGAGAAGAAGGTAGTCCCTAAATCAGCTAGTCAACCCATCCTTCGCTCAGCTCCTTACCATTGTGTGGTGAGAACATTGACGCTAAGACGCCAACCCTCTGGGCCAGTGTGAGATGTGCAGCACTGCATTACGGACCATAGCCACGCCCTGCACAGTGAGCTGGAGACATACCCGGATTCTGAGCCCAGCTTGCTCCCGACCCGCCGTCTCTGCCCTGTCTGTCCCAGCTGTGTCCCGCGGTGTTCGTGCGCCACGGCTTGTTCGGCCGTCCCTTCCTCTACCGATGTCACCCGTGGGGCTGGGACGGGGCTATTGTGATACTTCTGCAGTGACCTGGGGCAGACATCTCAACAGACTGCCTCACGCTGCTGGGTAAAACCGCAGAAGTGGGAGAGCTGGATGCTACAGTAATTCTCGTTTAGTCCTTTGAGGAGTTTTCGTGCAGTTTTCCATAATGGCTGCGCTCATTGGCACTGTCACCAACAGTGTATGAAGTATGACCAGAAAGCACAGAGAATGCTTATGTAAAACATTATTACAGTAGAAGACTCCTGCCATGAATCCCCTCACTTCCTCCCCCACTTCACACACACTCATCCCATGGCCTTGCCACCTCCTGCAGCAGCTCCGGAAGTTCTCTTTCCTGTGTGTCTTTAGTTGCACTGTTGCAACTGCTTTGATGTCCTGAATCCACTCAAAACATTTCCCCTTTGCGGTCATTTTGACCTTGGGGGAGACCAGAAGTCACCGTGAATAAAGTGGAAGCAGACGCCATCGTGTTTGTAGGAGCTGCCTTTCTGCCGGATGGCGCTGGGCAGCAGCATTCACTTGGATCACTCTGAGGGGGATTAGTGGTAATGTGTCTTTCACTGTAATAAATTGTTGTCAATGGAAACATCCCCCATATATTTCAACCGCACCTTCCTTATACAAGGGTTTCCTTTTCTGCATCCTCACCAACATTTATTCATCATTTGATGAAAGCCATTCTGACAGGTATGAAATTTTGATACCTCACTGGTTTTAATTTCATTTAGAGTCGTTAGTCATTTCTAAAACATATCTCTTGGCCTTCTGTATGTTCTCTTTTGAGAAGTGTTCATGGGGTCCTTTCCCTGTTTCTGCGTTGGGTATTCTGTCTTCTGCTGCTGCACTGAGCCCCTTGTGCATCTGGGCCGGTGGGCCCCATGCCACACAGGCCTTCAGGTGCTCTGCCCGTCTGCAGGTTGTCTCTGCACACTTGTTTCTCTTGCTGTGCAGAACCTTTTTGGTTAGATGTTATCCCGTTTGTCCATCTTTGCCTGCACTTTTCTAAGGAAAGCTAATTCTTTAAAAGAAACTATCATTCTGCCTTAACATAATGCTACGATGCAGTATTTATTGTATCATTAATATAGTCTTTTTGTTTGTTTGTTTGTTTGTTTTGGTACCGGGGATTGAACTCGGGTCCTTGCGCTTGCCCAGCAGGCAGCGAAACCGCTGAGCTAAATCCCCGGCCCTCATTAATATAGTCTTAAATGTGTCATTTTTACATTTGTATTATTATGTGTGCACTACATGCATCTCACCGTCACCCTGGGGAGTTGGCACATGGACGTGATGCAGCTTCTGCTTTCCTTAATCCCACCCCCCAGTTCGCCTTCCCCCGTCATTCTTGTTGATATCCTCAGTCTTAGCTCAAATCTGTGGCCCATAGCGTGCACGCTGACTGAGGTCACGAGGGCCTTGTACCTGGCACATCCTCACTCTCCCTGCTTCCCCATGGCCTCATCCTCACCCCTCACCCTCGGACCCCTGGACCCTTCTGCAAGACACCCATCCCCTGTCTCCCCTGTCCTTCCTTTATTTTTCTTTTAGTGTGTGCTTTGCCTCACCCAGATGAGAGATGCCGTATGGTATTCAAGTTTGTGTGTCTGATTTATCTCACTCCACATTACATTATTCAGGTGCATCCATTTTCCTGCAAATGTCTCAAATTTGTCCTTCTTTATAGCCAGGTAGTATTCCATTATATATAGATATCATATTTCCTTTGTCTAATCACCTGTTGGTGGTACACAGGCTGCTTCCAGGATGTAGTTATTGGGAGTTGTGCTGCTATAAACGTTGGTATGCATGTATCACTGTAGTATGATGTCTTAACCTCTTTGGGGAAGATCCGTAAAGGTAGATAGCTGAAATTTCTAATTTCTAATATGGAATTTCATTTTTTTTTTCTAATATGGAATTTCTAATTTCAGCTCTTTGAGAAATCTCCATACTGATTTCCATAATGGTTGTACTACTTTGTATTCCTGCTAACAATGTAGCACAGCCCCTCCAGCATTTGTTATTTTTTGATTTCTTTTTTTTTTTTTTGGTACCGGGGATTGAACTCAGGACCTTGTGTTTGAGGCAGGCGGTGGAAGCACTGAGCTAAATCCCCAGCCCTATTTTTTGATTTCTTGATGATTGCCATTCTTTCTGGAGTAAGATGGAATCTTAGCATTGTTTTAATTTGCATTTCTCTGATGGCCAGAGATATTGAACATTTTTTCATGCATTTGTTGGCCATTTGTACTTCTTCCTCTGGGAAG